CCTTGCTGATTCCCCACCACCACCCGATGCGAGGTCCGGGCGGCTGTGCCCGGCCTCGCATCAGAGCGGGGGGGGATCACCAAGGCCCAGGTGCGGGGTTTTTTTGCCAAAAAAAGAGAAGAAGGCCACCCGCCTCTCATAGTATGCGAGGTGCCTGACAGGACCGAGGACTGTGGTGGGCGGGTAGGTGAAGAGACGCGCTTTGAACGTCGCCGGGCTACATAGAGGCCGAGCATTAACACGGCGACCACGCCAGCCAGGAAGGCGCAACCTCCAGCTCCGGGGCCAGGCAGGCAGCACCGGGAGAGGAGAGGGGACTTCCAGGCCGCACCCCCACCGCGCACCCGAGGCAGACCCCCGGCAGGTGACTCAGCGGATCCCTCGCCGACCTGGCCCAGGTCACATCCCTCACCCCTACCCACCCCGTGCCCCGGCCGCTTGCACCTGCTGGGCTCGTTCCTGTACTCACTGTGGAGAAGGCGGGTCCCTGCTGCAGCGCTCGCCGGTCTTCCCGCCCCTTCTCAGCCACGGGGCCCCTTGCTACCCCAGCCCCACTACCGCCTCTCTACGCTGGGCAGGGCTCACCCCATCCCATCACCCTCCCCCCCTTGGCGGCTCACTCATGCGCCTCTCCTCATTCCCCCTCCCCCGCTGCCTGCTCCTCTCTCACCCGCCGTAACCGGGGCCTTCATTCCCCACCCCTCCCCCCTTTAGTAGGCATTGCGCATGCCCCAAAGCTCGGCTTCCTCTCCCTCCGTTGGGGGCGCCCGGGTGGTGGGGGTCGCCAGGCAGGGAGGCCTCGGTGGAGGCCAACGGCGTGGAGGCCACGCTCCGTGGGCTGTCCTGCAGCGCCCGGCCGCTCTCCGGGCTGAGCGTCTCCACCTTGGTGATGACCGGCAAGTCCGGCGAGGCCGCCTCGCTCTTGATGACGACCTTCTTCTCCGGCGGGGCGGCGTTGGCGTTGGCGTGGCCCGCGGGCGCCTCCTTGGCGGCCTCGGGCGCCTTGGCGGCCGGCTCCTTGAGGCTCCGCTCGTCCTTGTCCTTGGCGACGTCCTTCTTCTTGAAGCGGCGTCGGCGGCGGAGGAAGGAGCCGTTCTCGAACATGTTGTAGGAGTCCGGGTCGAGGGTCCAGTAGCTGCCCTTGCCGGGCTTCTTGTCGTCGCGGGGCACCTTGACGAAGCACTCGTTGAGCGAGAGGTTGTGGCGGATGGAGTTCTGCCAGCCCTGCTTGTTCTCGCGGTAGAAGGGGAAGCGCTCCATGATGAACTGGTAGATGCCGTTGAGCGTGATCTTCTTGTCGGGCGCGTTCTGGATGGCCATGGTGATGAGCGCGATGTACGAGTAGGGCGGCTTCACCAGGTCCTTGGGCGCCGGCGCCGACGGGGCCCCCGGGTACGGCCCGTACGGTACTGCTCGGCGTGGCCCGAGTAGACCCCCATGGAGCCCGCCATGCCGCCGTAGGTGCCCGCCGCCGCCGCCCGGTAGTAGTTCTGCTCGCTGAGGTAGGGCACCACCCCCAGGGCGTTGGGGTCCGACACCGAGTAGCGGGCCTGCATGGCGGATCGGGTCTCCTCCCGCCCCGTCGCGAGGGCCGAGCGCGAGTCCGGGAGGCGAGCGGGAGGGGGGCCGGGAGGAGGAGGAAGGGGGGGCGAAGTAGCCGGCTCTCCGAGGCCCTCCGAGCGAGCGAACGCAGTACCGGCCGGGTTAAAGCCCAAACGCTCGCTCCATCCTCCCGCCGCGGTGCAGAAGCGCCGTCGGAAGAATTCGCGCCTCCGTCCCGCCGCGCCGCTCCGAAAGGCGAGCCGGCTCGAGGCGAAATGGAGTCTCGCAGGGAGAGGAGGAGGAGAAAGGGGAGAAAAAGATTTTTTTTTGCAAGGGGGAGAGGGAGGGGGGGGAAAAAACCCCAGACGGGCCGAGCGTCTGGCGCTAGAGGCTGGCCGGCTCCGCCAGGCGACGCCGCCCCAGTCCGGCGGGCCAAGAGCGCAGCGGCCGCGAGGGGAGAAGCCGCCCCGACATCCACTCCGGCTCCGCGGGAACGGCTCCGGCGCCGGCTCTCAGCGGCTGCTGCTGCGATGCTGCGGCCCCCGCCGGCCCCGCCGCCCGCCACGAACGGCCCGACTCCCCGGACGGGACTTTGCGCGCACTTCCAAAACTTTTCCTGCCTGCCCGAAGAGCCCTTTTAGACTCCTCGACGGCCACGCCCCCGCCCCGAACTTTGCGCCAATGGCGGCCCGCCGGGCCAGCGGCCGGGCCAATGGGAGGGCCGGGGGAAGGCGCCGGAGGACGTGACATCGGGGAAGCCCGGGCGGCCGGGCGAGGCGAGCGGGGGGCGGCGGCGGCGGCCGGGAAGGCGAAG